TGTTAAATTATTATTTTTAATCATTGACTTACAAATAAATGGACGACGGGTCTAATACAAAAACCACGAAAAAAATGTTCCAAGTCAACCTATTTAAACGTAGTGACATGTAAAGGAATATGAAAAAGCTAAAAACGTTGAATTTAAATTGTAATGTCATCGCAGTACTGTCTAATTTTGCTTGCTTCGCTGTCAGTCGAACAAACGAAGACTAGAGCGTGAATGACGCTCTGTATACGATTTTAACGCCCTATAAGTTCGGACACTTTTTAGCGCGGACCCAACGTCCATATAATTGTAAGTCAATGTTGTGTTCATTTATTTTATTAACGTTGATGCGTGATTCGTATACGCCCTACTAAACCACGAATATTGGTTGGTATGTAGTACTGCTTTTACACAATAACACAGTATTGTAGAATATTATGATTTTGAACTACGCATGCAGCAATGAGCAAAGCAAGCGAGACTTTAGCGCGAATAAAACGCCCATTTTCTTACGGCAAAAAACAAAATATATACGTAAGAAGATATCTATATATAGTTATTGTAAATAGATATTTCTACAACATAACGAGCAATGTCGAACATTTTTGTCGCTACATCCTTAAATTCAAAATTTGCGAATAATTATTAATGACATTTGAGAAATTTGTAAACCTCGTACTCATCAATGTAAACTTTTGAGTAGGTATAAAAAACAGAATTACTAGAAATAAAAAAAAAGAAATAACAATCTATACCTATTGTATAATATAGAGGATATTGTAACTAAAAAAGTAATTGCCCGATATTGCGCGTGACGAGCAAAAAAGAGATTTCGTCCAAAAACGGAATTATGTGGTTTTGCAATTTTATCGACGAATTTCAGTTCGATTTTAATTTAAATATGTGGTTAAATATATTACGTGTATTTTAAAAAGCAAATATAATAGGTACATGGTCAAGAGCATGTTAAGAGGGAGCAGAGGAAAAATTCCTAATCTTCGATTTGATTTTAGAGGGGTATATCCACTTTAAAGTTAAAAATAAAAAAACTGTATGAGTAACTACACGATATATTCAAGCATAGACACTAATCAGAAACATAAAACAATGAAGTTTCCTCGATAGATAAAAATCACGAAATGACCTCTAATTTTCACATTTTTTTCGACTCATCCTCGAAATGCTACAGGTTATTAGGACAAAAATTAGATAATTAATTATATTTATGCATGATCGAGAACTGTCACTACGGATTTTTTTTTAATCCCTTTAGTTTTAGAGTTATTCCGCTAAAACGAATTTGGTACTTTTAATGCGCAAAATTCAACATCTCCTGTCGCATGTCACGCGAACTTCAGGCATATATTTGTTTCACAGATTTGGGCGGAGCCAACGTCAAAACTTTTTTGGCATGCTCCCTCTTAAGCTGGGCACTAAGCTTGCGATAAGTACGACCCAAAATCTGCTTGATGCGCTTTTGTCTGTATAATTTGCGACACATGTCATTAAGCTGTTATTTGCACCAAAAAATGTCACCCAGCTTTTAAGCGTTGAGCTGAAGAAACAAGAAACAACTGAGGCTTTATGAGTGCAAAAATTTATGTGTATGTGTTGACATATGTCATTATTAATACAAAGAATGAACACAAAAACAAATTGCTCCGATTAAGATATACTCGCACCAGCGACATCGCCAACCCGTGATAGACGCTCTCCTATGTGAGCTGTGAAAAGAGTTAGCAGACCTTATGAATATTTCTATCTGCTTGTTACATTTTGTTTTTCGTTTTTTCACTCAGCTCTTATATTTATCGCTAATACGTGTCACTACTGGGTATGGTTTTCGATGCGAGTTAGGGATTTCACACGTTTTCGAAGCGTTTTGTATTCTTCTATGTGCGGGCTTCATTGCGGTGTTTTCCTTCAATGCCAGTAACAGGAATTACTACTAAGTATTTGCAAATAGAAATTTAAGTCATAACAACCGTGGCACGAGGCTTATAGGTGACTTGGTATTAGTGGATGCGAAGCTGCAGAACCTTGAACACCGCCGTAAATTTGCCTGTTTGTCGGTATTTTACAGGACATAACGGAGAGTGTGCAATGGAATTACATAATTTGATTCCGCCTACCCCTTTCCATCATTGAGGGACTAGACGTGGACTGGGGTTCCACCACTATGTTGTAGATATTCCACATTTATATGGAGAGTGGCTATGGAGTGGAATTCCCTGCCGACCTGTTCTCTAAACTTTATAACTTGGACCTTTTCAAGGCGAGAGTGAATAGGCATTACTTAGGCGTGCATGTTCTATCGTCGACCTCATCATCAGGTGAGGTGAAAGTCAAATACGCATTTACATAAAAGTTCATAAGCAGGCATGTGTGCTTATGATCACCGACTGTTGACCTCACAATTGAGAAGTAAGCATCCTTCCACTGAGCTGTCACCGCTCTATAATAATGTCACCTTTAATTAATTATTTCCGGTATAGTAACCGAAGACATCTATAATTTCTATAGATGTCTAGAAACGTATTAAAATTCCAAGATATTTATCTTCAAAAGCACGGAGGAGCCGTTAGCAACAGCGCGGGTGCGCCAGCGACGCCGTAGCCGCATGCGATCGAAAATCAATTAGCAGTAGTATTAGTTTGCGAAATGCTCTCTGCAAACCGTTTCACTTTTACTGTCCTACCTTTTACCTGTTACTATGAACTCAGACGTCACAGAATCATGTATCATACAGTAAGACAATCATAAATAATTTTAATTTTCACATATATATCATAATTGAATATAAGTCTTTTTAGTTCAATTTTTTTTATGAATTTCGTGCTAGTTTTCGTATCTTTCTATTTATTATTTTTAATGTGTGATACCAAGTGACGGGACGAACAAGTCGTGCGCCTGATGGTAAGCGACACGCTTGTCCATTATGCCACTGTAATTCATTGTCATTCAGGGCTTTAAAACACAATTATCTGAGAGGCACTGCCACTGGACCTGAGACATAAGTTGACAAGTCTCATGCGCCGGTAATTTCACCAGCACCCTTACGCTTCAAAAACGCAGTAATGCTCACGTTATTGCTTGGCGGCAGAAATAGGTAAGGTGGCAGTACTTCACTGGACCTCTTTCACCATCACGCTTTATTGCAAGGACATGAAGCTTTATCTAACGCCGATTCCGTATTAATAATTGTGGTGATTTCCTTAGTCATAGGCTATGACGCAATCTTGAAAGTAATACAGAGAAAGATACGTAGCTGAATTTCCCTTATAGTCTACGTATACAAGTACTAATAGATTCAGTTCAAAGGAAAGTAAGCGTGGGACCATTGCAGAGAACATAGTGCGATATTAATCAACGATCAAATGGATTAATTTTATGTTTATAATGTGAATGTAACATCAAAGTGGCTCATTGTGTCGTGGTTGTAATCGAACGAAAGTATGAGTTTGAAAAGTGAAAACTGTTACGAGTACACCTACATGTTGTAGTTTGAGTCATTTGTCAAGACAGCTTTAATATAATAACGCACACACGCGACATAGCCCCGCACTAGGGAAACACTGTGTCGCGGGTGCCATGGACACACATAGACAACCACAAATTACACCCAAACTCACGAGAGAAATAAAGGTAGGCCATTCAAATATTTCTCCTAGCCCGGGAATCGAACCAGGGTATCCGGCATGGTAACCGTTCGACCACAGAGGCAATTAATTAATAGAGTATATAAAAAAACAGTTAATGTAGTTACTTAATACAAGAACTACGTTCAATTTATATTGCAAATTTCCGCCTTCGTATATTGTATACGTTATTATTATGACACCGTATATTTACTCATATTATTTTAATAAACAAAAACAACATAATTTGATAGTCAAACTCATGTCACGTGTTGCTTCCGACTGACGATTAAGTTAATTGAAATATAATAGGCCTGTCTAGATTTTCAGATACGAAATTATACATTAAACTTTTTTTTGTAAAGAAACGCTCAATTGCACCAACATCCATGAACTTTAACGCTTAATTAAGTAATTTGCTGTCTCAAGTATCGCTTTGATAAAGTAAGGGACAATACTATACTTAAAGACGACTTAACTTCGAAGTTTTTCTAACTAGCTGAAAAGAACACAAAAAACAACATTACTTCAAAAGTCACAGGGTTACCTTAATAGGTTATTTGGCAGAGACGAATCATTTTGATGGGTCTGAATGTGATTTTGATGATTGATGATTACTCGTTGAGAACATTTTTTTTTACAAAAAAAAGTAACATAAAAAGAAAACAATTAATAAAACACTTATAATAACTGATGTTAGCTACCCGACTGATTGAAAATTGACACCAAGATTACGTGACCATATGTCCCGCTTTGAGCACGAAGACAAAGCTTAAAAGCGGAACTGTCCCGCTTTTAAACTTCGTGTTCCGCTGCTACAAAATACTTAAAAATGTCCCTTCTTTGACAAAACAGGACACACATGTCAATAAATGTAGAAAAATATATAAAGCAAGCATACCAAGTTTATACACTTAATTTCTTTTTTAACATTTAATTATTTAATATTTTTTATTATAATTTTGAACTTTTTTCATTAAACATTTTGTAACTATCATAAATATGTGTTTTATTTTTAAAACAATTATAAATTTACAGGCGTCCCGCTCTCAGGGAAAAGAATAATGGTCACGTTACACCAAGACCACTTTAATAGGTACGTTCTAAAAGGCATTAAAGGCAAGGTTAAGTCTATGATCACAACTCTTTATGGTCTTTTTATGTGATTGTAGGGTTAGAGAAGAGAAGCAACTTGCGAGTGTCAGGCTTGATAGGATAAGACGGTGTTAAAATAATGTGGAACACAGGATAGCACGTGGTAAGACAATATTTTGGGAAAATATTGTCCTGCTGCAATGGGCTTGTAGATATTCGTGGGAAGTTCGTTGACTGAGGTATAAGATTGAGAGGTATAAGAAAATGAGAGATACTTACAAGTCCGTCACAGGCGGAGAGTGCCACGTTGGAGTTCGGTTGTCCGCGCACGGAGCCGGTGTAGTGGCATGATGTGGCACCTGCATAGGGCTGGTCCCGCGTTCGCCCTTGTGCCGTGTGCCGTTCCACCACCATCGCAGGGGTTATGAAGGTTACAGACGGCCTGTGCGATATAAAAATATTTTGTTAATTAGCAACAAATACTGTATGAGTGATTGGTAGTAAGGAGCCATGAGTCTTGTCTATTTCTGCCCCCAAGCAGTAATGTGAGCATTACTGCGTTCCGGTTTTAAAGGGTTATGGGTGCTGGTGAAATTACAGGCACATAGGGAACGCCAAGTTATATCTCAGGGTGACAGGCGCAGTGCCCCTTAGATATTTGCGTTTTAAAACTCTGAGTAGCGCTGCAATACAACTGCTTCGCAGCTCAACAGCGTACCGCCTGTTCGTCCCGTCTTGCTATTCAAATTTACAATAATTTAAATAATTTGTGGAATTAATTATTTATTTTTATAGTTTAGAGAATCCAAAAACCTACAACAGCTCCATATTTCAAAAGGTGTTTATAAAAAAAATAAACACGAATTACAAAAAGTCAAAGGTGGAGGTTATAAAAATAGCTGCGGTGCATGGCTTCTTCTTTAAATATTTGTACTGTAAGTCACGCTCGGCATTCTTGGCGGGGTGCAACGCCTTCGTGTAAAGACCTCGTAGATTACCGAGCGGAGGTACATGTTGTCGCTTTTGGTATTTTTTCTCGTGCTGACATTTTAAATAAATAAAAAACAAACTTTATAAAATAAGAAGAATTTCATTTACTAACCAACCACCCAGATCCGTATGACTAAAGTGTCTGTATTCAAAGTCAAATGGCTCTTCCGACTATAAAATACTTTTTCATGTAGTAATGTTTTCTGCAAGCATTCTAGTTTGACCCAGAACGTATCAACAACATACGGTGTTGCTTCTTTTTTTAAGGAAACGTCATGGTTGCGTTAAATTGATCACGACAAAAAATTAAGATTGCTTCATTAAATCTTAATGATTATATGTTTATTATTTTAGGAGTTTTAAGTCATTCAAGTTTTAAGTAGTTATTTAATTTGTGCAATCGTACACAATTGTAAAATAATTTTACGAACAAAGTTCAAGGTGTATTGTTTTTATTGGATACATATTATTTAATTTTGTGCAATGAATATAAGTAATTTAACTTTGTATTATGAAATTCATAAATCAAATTATCGATTATAAAATGACTGGTGGATATTAAAATTAATGATGTTGGTATAATAGTGTGACCAACATTTGCGGTCTAGTTTTGTAAATAATTATATTAAAATCTATTGACAGCCGGCATTAATTCTTCGACAGGAAGTATAAATTACGTACGAAAATATTTTGGATCTATTAAAATTAAGGCCGTATGATTATTATTTATTTTTCTATTAACGCTTTCTCGGGGAAGGCATCTGATGACAATGATGACATGATGTTGTAGCGGACTATATCAATGGGTTCGTGTGGGTGCTAACAAAGAGTGAGCAAGGCCAAAACAAATGCACTTACAGTACTCGTGTGCTTACAGTTTATTTATTAACATACAGCTATCAATCCAAAAATAGAAAACAATTGTAAAGAAAAGGCGCCAAAAACAATCACATTTTAGTATAGTTTAGTAGTTCTACTTAATACATATGTGCGTAAAAAGTTAATGGAATTGCATTCAAAATTTTTCCGTGACCCTCAAAGTCAATAACGTAAAAAAAATATTTAATAAGTTTAGTTATTAAGTGGATGATCACACTATGAGATTTTTATCTAATCAAAGTACAGTTTCTTCCGCCTCCATAAACAAGCGTGTCATTTATCGCAAACGTAGCTACAACAATATATCGTTTTCCTGGCAATAAATTGTTACAAGCCGCAATTTCTCGGTATCTAAGGCAGATAAATCTTGCGCCGCGAAATCTACTTTTTATGGCAAGCGCCATAGAGGCTCGATACCTTGGCCGATATGTGGACAAAACAAGACAATTTATCGACAGTGACACACATTATTCAACATTCGACAGGTTTATAAGTCTTAGGATAAAGACAAAAGTATTTGGCAAAAACTAAAAAGGCTAAAAAGTTGCGAAAAAATTTAAAGTTTAAAAATCTTTTTTATTCGAATGTGAACATGAACTTCGTCGAGTTTAATGCGCTGTGGGTTTCGAAACAAAACAATGACTTGATGTTTCTTTCGGTATAGTAACGTTTTATTAGCCCGAAATAAAATTGTACTTACTGTAATACTTGTTAACTTATTACAATTCATACGTCATTATATCCTTAATAATTCTACGTACATCAAACTTATGAGACCTAAAGGGCGTAGGAGTGTTTGGAGATGGAAATAGATCAAAGTTTTTATTCTAATATAATTGTTAATCTATTAGTTTTAAGATATAGAAGAATGGTGGTAAGTGCTTTAAATTGCAAAGATCTGAGGGGCACTGCCACTGTTTATGTCACTCTGAGACATAAATTGACAATTCCCATACGCCTGTAATTTCACCAGCATTCTTACCCTTCCGAAAACCGAAACGCAGTAAAGCTCACATTATACTATGTAAGATGGCAGTACTTCCCTGGACGGACTCTTTCACAAGGAGCTATAACTGCTACTAAAGTGAAAATGGAGGTCAAATGCGTACTTATATTTTATAATAATAATAATAATATTCATTCAATGAGTAAACACGTTACATTAGAAGTTTTCTTTTAATATTTATTACATTTTTTATCACATTGTTAATTTTTTGATTGATTCTTTAATTAACCGACTTCAAAAAAGGCGGAGGCTCTCAATTCGACTGTATGTTTTTTATTTTTATTTTTGTATGTAAGTTACGCGATAACTCCGGTATTTGTGAACCGATTTTCATGATTCTTTTTTTGTTGGAAAGAGGGTACCTCCATAAGGGCCCTATTTGAAGAAAACCATCCACCTCTAAGGGTGATCACGCATGAATATTCATTTTTATAAATAGCGCATAAATTTTACTTAAGGAGCAATTATTTTAATGGTTGATTTTGCAATTCTCCAATTCAAGGCGTTTTTCTCTCTCAATATACTTTGAATAGTGAGAACAGATTTGTATTATCTCCTGTATCAAGTCCTGTATAGTGGCGAACTAGGGGATATTTCAATAAAACTTGGCAAATTGATGTAATTCCACGTACTTTTGAGGTCGGTTTTTTTAGTACTCTGTACTGAGATTATTTTTTATAAATTTTTATTGCATACTCAAACTCAAATATCCTTTACTTCGAAGGTAAGCAAATTACATTTGATTGATTAAACTTTATTGCTTATTCGTAAGGCAGATTTCCCTGAGAAGAATGAGCAAGTTCGGAAACACGCTCATCTTAAACCAACAAAAAATAATTCCAACAACGAAAAATAATTCGAGTTCAGACGATACAAATTAAATGTCATCTCTTGAGGTGCAACTGAACCTGGGACTGGATGCGACTCAAATTTAATTATTTTTGACAAGCGACCAGTCTCGGGTTGATATGATACTCGCATTTGGGCTTATTCGGGTTCCATTGCAAATTTAAACCGACCCCGGGTTCAGATACTACAAACTCATCTTTTTTTTATAATAACGCACACACTCAATATAGCCCTGCGTGTCGCGGATGCCATGGACACACACATAGACAACCACAAAGTTACACCCAAAGTCACGAGAGAAATAAATGTAGGCCATACAAATATTTCTCCCGGCCCAGGAATCAAACCCTCTGCGTGGCAGTCCGGCATGGTAACCGCTCAGCCACTGAGGCAGTTAACATCATAGATCGAGACCAAAAGAGCTAAATGGGTCAATACCACAGTTTTTGGCATTAACTACGCAGAGGCTGTAACTTTTAGTATAAAGTTTTTGTTTCATTACAGTTTTAAATCTCGTGAATAGGAAATTTTTTAATCTTGTTATAGAAACGTGTAATTACCCCCTAAATGTATTCAAAACTCATACCTGTCAATATCAAGCCCGAGAGTAACATGCACAGATAATCTCGCTACTTACAAATCACGTTTAGTTAATTAACGACAGGCATTAAGTTAGTTAATTAGGCATTAGAATCAGGAGTGAGCTGTCAACACCACGCACGAGGCCATCAGCTTGGTCGGCTGGTGATCGACAGCAAACACTCGATGTAGCACCCATTACGGTAATTAACCAACAAACATGGCCGGCCCACATACGGACATGTTGACACAAATGGATGGACTCGCTTTGTTCTTGCTTTGGTTTCGACAGAGCTTGCTAGGTAACTTAAAGGTTCTGGTAAATACCTGGTGCTATTAACTAGTTTTATTTAATTCGTTTTTCTTAGTATTTAAATTCAACTAATGGCTGGTTTACACGTATTAACTGACGAAGAAACTTTGACATTTTGCAAACAAAACGTTAGCTCACCACCACACCTACTGGGAGATGCGCGGGGTGCGAGGGGTCGGTTACTTCATGAATAATCTCAGTGTAGAGTACTAAAAAACCGACCTCAAAAGTTCGTGAAATTACATCTATTTGCCAAGTTTTATTGAAATCGGTTACCGGAAATGCGCGAAAACGGGTTCATCCCCTCGTTTGCCACCCTTAGAGGTGCAATATTTTCTTCAAATGGGATCACTACTGAGGTACCCTCTTTCCAACAAAAAAGAATCATCAAAATCGGTTCACAAATTCCGGAACATACATACCTACAAAAAAAATACAGTCGAACTGGAAACCTCCTCCTTTTTTTTGAAGTCGGTTAAAAAACAGATTTGATTCTAATCCACTAAATCGATGATTAGTTAACACCTGTTAAGTGATTGTTTACACGCATAAATTAAGTTAAAATTAAGATAATTACTTCGACACTTAATATCTGTAAATTAGCCATAAGTTCAAACAAAGTTAAAGACAGCAAAAATAAGTTTGCAGATAAAACAAAGAAACTGCAACTAAAAATATAACTCCTTCTACTTAGATTAGTAACAAGTCAAGTTTAAAATTGCATACTGTTAAAAGCAAGCTAAATTGCTACTTGGTAGAGTTTGAGAAATACGAATTTGATACTAATTTGCTACCATACAAAGTGGTATAAATTATTAAGGTTGTA